GTGTGTGTGTGTGTGTATGCGTGCGTGCGTGCGTGCGTGCGTGCGTGTGTGTGAATGTGTGTGCGTGTGTGCGTGCGTGCGTGCGTGCGTGCGTGTGTATACGTGTGTGCGTGTGTGCGTGTGTGCGTGCGTAGACAAGTATAATCAACGTTTCTTGGATTCGAAAGTCGTCATGACCTTAACCGCAACTTGCAACCCTGAATTAATGTCTTCTCTCACATCGTTTTATACTGGCTATGTAGCGATACACGAACCGTGGCAGTAACACGTATGTTACCGTATAGGTAACTAACCTGATGACGCCATCGGTGTGTGTAACCGGCAGTAACGTTTTAAAAAGACATAGCAAGGAACAGCAACCGGAATTCGATTAATTTTATGCCACGATATTTTACGAGCGGCGCGGCTGCATATTATGAAAGACATAACTTGCTCCAATTGTTTATGAAATATAGATTGTTTAGTATACATCCACTACTACACGCCAGTTCGAGTATTATATACATAGTGTATATATAAAGTATATACATATACATATAGTATATACATCGGTGCTACTTAATTATAACAGAGAAAGTCCCTCAGTTCCATTGGTTTTGATTTCTGTTAGCCGGAATGTGGGCACGATCTCCAGACGGCATACTATCGCCGACGTAAAAAGCGAGATACTGATGAAGATGGACGTCGACTAACTACGCACCCACGGTCTGTCCCCCATGCGGGCGTCACGATCGCTGAGAACATAAGTCTATCGAGCGGGATTGTGATATTGACACAAGACGACATTCACGAAGACGCATGTGCGTATATGGGGAATTCGCTGTATTCATACAGCATTTCGGCACGATTTTAATAGTGAACCGATGCGTTTGCGTTTCGTTGCAGAATTTCAACATTTGTGAAATTGTTGCCTTAGTATAGAGATTCCCATATAGAATTTAAATGAAGCTATTTCAATAGTGTTCAGAGGGTTAGTCTATCGCATGATATAACTCGATCTATACGCATCGATTTATTGTTGTTCTTTTTTTTCAAGCAATTTATCTCCCGCTTCCTTCACCACAGTACTTCTCGTTAAATTGAAAGAGCTGCTCAGCCGTGTAACACGCTAGTAATCATGCGACATGTAGCATGTAGCTAAAGCATCGGCGTGGCCCCCAATGTTCTCGCTCACTCAACCACGGATTAACGAATACGGAGCATCGTTTGAATCACACATCAGTTTTGGCACTGTTGTTAAAATTTCGTTTATCGTACTCAAACTGTATAACATACGCGACAAATTTTATAATCACGAAGTAGATTAATATGCAGTCATATACATGCACCAGATTCGCGACGATCTGAAACAACGTGAAATATCTGACGTAGAATTATTTATAAGGCACCTGTCCAAGATCATGCGATCATGTAATGAAATCCCTACCATGCATCGCAACACATTCAATACGAACGCAACATTGAATACGTGTGACAACAATATTGGTGCAACTTTATTATTATGTTCAAATCAGAAAATATATGCAATGCAGTTTTCGTTACCAAAATGAGCAGAATGTGTAGAATTATTGTCATGTCGCGTCCTATTACCAGGTGTGTCCGTTGTTTAAACCTTTTAAATTTGCAAACCGTTATAAATGTCAGGACGCGTGGTTACTGCTCTAATAACCGAGTTTAGCTCAACAATGGCATGACAATCACTAAAACTACTTGCTTCATATACGTGCCTATTATTAGTGAATTCAGATAATCTGAGAAAAACCGGATCCTCGTCTACGTGTGGTAGTGACCGCAGACTTACGCTGATTATCACCATTGCTGTTATGGGCGGTGCACTTCTCATTACAACAATCACGAGCGTGGTCGGTTGCTTGAAGCAGAAATCCGTCGCTGCTGCGTAAAGGTAAATATAGTCGTATACGTCGTTATTGCAAGTATAGTAATTATGTCGCTACCTACACGTGTTACATAGTGCCAGACTTAGCCTTACCAGATACACGCATGTGACATATTTACATTTGCGTGAGGATAATGTCTACAGGTTGAGATTGGCGTGCGAGCATTCAAGCGCGCAAAACATTTCATGGTTTAGAAGAGGGCACGTATAAGCATGCAGCACATGTGTGTATGGTGGTCATTGTTCGCATAACGATACGATTTCGGCGACGGATTTCTATAGCCATCAATAACTGGTGATGTGTAGGCTTACTGTCAGGGGGATTAGTGCATGGCAGAGAAAGATTTCGAGAGTAGCTTGTATAGCATTTAGAAATACTGAGTCAGTGACTGCATTCCATTGAACAAAGTTGTTTCAGCTACTTGATATGTAGCTGAGCTCGTAATGCGCAGCGTTTTCTTCGCGGTTTAATTCTAAATTTAATTTCCACATATAATTACATTATTAAATTATACTTTTAAATTATATTAGACGCTTAATTTATGCTACCAGACAGCTCGCATAATTCACTTCTTATGGCGCCCGACTATACGAAATTTGCAGACATTTGTGCTGTAAAATAACGGACGCTGTCAGCTCCTTAATTACTTCGTCTCTCGCATGTACTAAAATTTAAAAAAACGCTAATTTCCAACGTCTATCGATATCCGCTTTACCCATTAAAAGTGAAAATTTTCCGCCGCAGGTCTAAATCAACACCGGTGCGCTATTTCGATCGTACCACACCATGCACCTTCGGTTCCACCACCGTGGTTGATGGAGATGCTGGATGCTGCTTGATTCGACACGACTTCTCCAAGTCGTCCAACTGATGAAGGGTGCAGTAGTTGGTCAAATCGGCACGCGACTGCTGTATACCAATTGCGCAACTCGTCAAATAATCAAATGGAAACAGTTGATGAATTCACCAACTGTACAACCAACGCGCGACGATCGGTGAACGATGCAGCTAAATCCAAGTAATATTACACCCCAATTGGCTCACCGTATACTCATTGTTACTATATAACATAAGAACGTATTAAAAAAAAAACACTAAATATAATAGCCAAAATAGTTCAACCGATTCCGTGACGAACATTAATAATGCTTTGCGCATATTGCCACAGGAAGCATCCACGCGTACTGTTGTTGTCAAGATGTCATAACACGTTTGATATACAGGTCCTTATAATTATGCCATATTTTTCGAAACGCAATAATATTCTAATGAACATTATCAGGAGTGAATAGTAACACATATAATCTGTAAGAGATCAATCAATAATAGATCTAATCTATAAGAGATCAATCAATAATAGATCTAATCTATTATTGTTCACTCCTGACATTACCATACTATTAAATTATTGCGGTCATTTTCATAATCTTTTTATTTTACTATATGATTTTACATTGTTTATTATTCAACAGATGTCCTTACTAGTCAACACATCCTTTGAGTTTACAGCGATTAGCAACTTTGGTTGAATCTTATCCACGAAAATATGGTTAGATCGGGCGCTCAGATAATAATTTTATAATTTACAATGATAAATATTCAACCTGTAATTAAGTAAGGATGTAGGCCTATACGGTATTATATAATTGCGGTCCTTGGAAAATGTGTATTCCAGATAACATTATTATGCTTTTCGAAGTGATATGTTATATTATTTGTTAATAAAATATTTTATATGATAATTGGTTCATTCTACGATGCTTTTGGTAATATCGCATGCACTAACAGTGCACCTCTTAATGACTACTCATATATATATATATATTACTTTCAAGACATGACAAATCCCATACCAGGAAAGTTTAGGGAAATCAGGAAATTGGTTCAGGTAGTATCAGAAACAGGTTTCGTTTTGTTGATATCAGTCTAAGGACGTTTTGTACATGCACTGCACGGTTGTTGCCAGAATTCGGCCCAATTTGATTGTTGCCAGTAAACGTCATAAAAGGTTATGGCACCCCTGCCTTCTCCAATCCCCTACCTCCTCATCTACATAGGATTCTCTTTCTATATTTACCTCTTCCCCTTATCCATATTTTGCTGCTTCTCTACTTACTCCACATTCTCTCTATTCTCATAAATTCGCGGTACTTGTCATCCAGAAACGATTGCAATGATTGTTCACACGATTCATATATATAAATAAAGTTCTGTTCGCTCTGCAGGGGCGGATCCAGGATTTTTGAAAAGGGGGTGTCCAGGAAGAAATAAAGGGCACTTTTTCCTGCTTAGTTTTTTTGGTGTTTTAAAAAGCTGCCGAAGGCCACTTAGGGTGGGTTTGGGGGACCTCCCCCAAGATTTTTTTTTTAAATTGGTGCATTCTGAGAGCATCTGAGCAGTAATTTTGATGTCTAGAATGCAAAAATTTATCAAATCCGGTTCCCCGGACGCCTGCGGACCCCTCTTTGCCCATTTCTAGGTTTTTATAACGAATTTACATATATATAAGTAAATCTTTATCAGAAAAACTAGCGCTAAACAAGATTTTTTTATGGAGACAATATAAGAGAAGTGTGTGTGTGTGTGTGTGTGTGTGTGTGCGCGCGCGTGCGTGCGTGCGTGCGTGCGTGTGTGTGTATGCTTTTTTCCCTTTTTTGTGGTAAAAAAGGGGGGGTCCGGACCCCCTCGACCCCCCTCTGGATCCGCCCCTGCTCTATACACACGCCGTCAATCGTCAGCTCGCGTCAAGTATAGATTATCCGCTTGCTTCATATAAAGAAGCCCTGCTCGCTCTATACAATACACACACAGTCCGTTTACTAGTAGCAATTAATGTTATAATACAACTGAAGTTTATGTCAGAATATATATACCCGCCTATCTTTGGTGTATTTATATTGATCGCCCGCGTACTTCCTGGCGCAATCACCACTCTGTCTATAAAGGGCATTGATATTTTGACGCGGGGTTTACACCGACTCCTCACAGAACGTCACAGAAGAAAATGCTCTGTGTTTATGCCCTGCCATTAAAGCGCCCACACTGCAATAGCGAAAACATGCTGCGAAAAACTACGATTCACGAATAGTTTAGAGGAATTTTTAGTTTTAGGGAACGTTATACCAAAATTCCTGTAAATATATAAGTCTACAATATGTTCAATGCACGGCTAGATAAAAAATCACTTTGCATCAGATTGAAATGCAACGTGTATTAAGCACTAGCTGCGTTTTGCTCGGAGGATGAATAAATGATATTGAAATGAATTGTAAATCGAGCAGCTGTAGAAGAATGATCAGTAACAACAGCAGCTCTACCGCTAATAGCCAAATGATATATAGTCAATAAATGTTTATTTCAAAATCGTCCTTATAAGCTCGTTTATTTTGTAGTTGTATAGAAATGATTATAAAAGCGATGGTGCGCGATTGTCACTATGCGAAATGCTCAATCTTTCTGTATGACAGGCCACGGTAAACATTAAACTTGCAAATATTTTCGCAATGTGTTGTTTTTTGTCATAGTATACTAAAGATAGAAACCTATATGCCTCTCAGAGACCGCTATCTTCTCACATCCATTACAACTGACAGCACTCGCGCATACATATGGCTACCTCAATTGATGCCGCTGCTGAGCGTAATGAGGAAACAACCAACGCTACTAGCTACAGGGTTATTATTCTACACAAAATCCTGAAATCATCCATGCATTTGCACACCTTGTCCGCGGGCGCATATAGCAGTATGGACCCGACCTGCTTATGTTGATCGTTTTTGTACATTCATGCATATTTCTCCGTCGCCGCAGGGCTGGAAATGGCTCGTCCCTAACGAACATTTTGTACGGTAGTTCTCAGGAAAATCATTGCCGCTTGACGCAAGTCGTTCAGAGTTAGAATACTCGATGTGCTGTGGCTACATCTAATCGCATCTCGAGATTTTTCCTTTTAGTGCTTTTGCTTTATCCTGCAGTTTTCGAGCCGAGCGCAGATTCCAGACGCACTATATATCCATCTATCTACCTATCACACGTGTACACGCGCTCAGCGCAATTATCGATTTTCTTCAGATAGCACCACTGCATGAATATGCTACTGCCTGTGTCAAGTCTTCCTCTTCTTGATCTTCTTCTTTATTTCCATATTCTCCACTACCCAGGACATCCAGTCTCGAGGACGATGATAAAACTATCACAATGTATTGCAGCAATGATGATTGCAATACATTGTAATATAATTTTATTATTATCAGCACACAGATAAAAAGCCTTCTTGTTACCACGCTATTCATGATAACTTCAAAACTTTACGATTTTGTATTTCTATACGGTGTTTATGCACTCACTATACATAGTAATGCTAGTGAAGCATTTCTGTGTTCTGCTGAAGTTATCAGATCCTGCTATTTAATGCATATTCATTACTATTTGGCAATTTCAGTGCCAAGAAAATGCATAAAATATATATATATATAAATAACCGTAACACTATAATAGCTAGCCATGGAAAAAATGGTAGGAAAAATAGCGGTGATAAAAGCGACACTTAATTAGATGTATGAAACAATGCAAAGTGCGTTATATATTAGTAAGAGCAGACGAAAGCACGCAAAATAAAAGAAAGGACAGAGGAAACACAGAAATAACGTCAGGTTTCCTCTAGGAAGTATATCTAAGACATAGTATAGACATGCATAGACTCAGTACCACAAATTTTCCTAGATTTCGGCAAGGTTTTCAACAATGTTCCTCATAGACCTATATACCCCACTGGATTAATTTCTTAATTTCCTGAGGTTAGATCACAAATCTTCTGATATGTTGATGATATAAAATATATGTCAGATGTCGTTGTGGTTATAATTATAAATCAGGCGCATTAAATTAAGAATTCTGTATGTCCGGGCCGGCTTTAGACATAAGCGAAACAAGCTACGGCTTGGGGCTCACAGCTCAGGACCTTGCCAAGTTCAGTTACATAGCCTTATTCTCGGTCAACAATAATTGCCAAATAGGGCTTCTACAGCTTCCCATAGCTTTGGGCCTCACCATGTCTAAATCCGGCCCTGCTGTGTGTGCTTAATTGGTCAAATATTGTTTCGCCTTTTAACAATGAATTAATCATCTAAGACCGATATCTCTACTTCTCTGCGCCTTTACGTTGCTGATGCAGCACTTTACACTTAGGCTAGCCACAAGTATTATATATATATATATCAAGAGTACATAATAGATCTATCTATCTCTATTATGTACTCCTTGATATATATATATATATATATATAATATATATATATATATATCCTCCGTTATATATTATATACCGCCAACTATATACTGGCGACCTGCGTTGGAATGCTCACACGCTTTATATTTGTAAAAGGCCACTCGCTCTTGGGGCATATTAGTCCGAGATAATTAGTCCGGCATATTAGTCCGAGATTCCTCTGACCAATGCCCACACCGACATTGACATCGGTATGGGCATTGATCAGAGGAATCTCGGACTAGGGGCATATATGGTACGTCGCCAACCAAAAGGATCCATTCAATTCAATCTGCAATTCCTCACTGGAACGCTCTCTCGTTTTCTGCAGTTCACACATAGATACAGAATAGAGATTATAAGTTATGTATGTATTATTATAGCTATGATATGATATTGAAACATTTGCTGCTGCTGTTCATGGTGTCAATGAATCGTACGTTATGACATTTAACTCATATATATGACTAGCTTCAAGAAACGGTATTGCTAGGTAGAATACGTATTATAATACGTATTAGAATTCGGTATTAGAATACGTATACTAAAATTCGGTATTAGAATACGTATACTAATACGAATACGTATTAGAATACGGTTAGAATACGTATATTGACGTCATGCATGTAGCCTATATTGACGTCAGTCACACAGCCTGGTCGTGAATATATGACGTGTTCTGCGTGAGGACGTGGTAACCACTTATCAGCAACACCTTCACAACAGCGGCGGAGAAGCTTTACCGTCTGTTCTGCTGATAAACGCCCCGTCTTCTTCCAATACAACACCGTATACGGTATAAGCATAGATAGAGAATACAGATTTGTTTACTTGAAATTGAATAACACCAAGATAACACGCAATAGAAATCAAATATATAACACAATTATCGAAAATGAAAAAGCAAAATTAAAATTAAAAATTAAAATGTACAATACTGTAAAATCACAACAAACAACGACATGAAAATATAATTACTTGAAAATCATACAAATAGAAAATAATAAAAATAACAAGAAAAAATAAACAAATAAATCAAAATAGAGGGCGATCAAGAGTATTGACCAATATGGCGGCGCCCAGTTCTTGGCGAATTTATTGTTTTGGTAGCCTTATAACGATTTTAATTGCGTTTCTATATAGTAGGGTAACCGTCAATGACATATTAAATGAAAGGCTACACCAGGTTACAACGGGTCTGCTCGAAGTTGAAATCAAGCATGCAGTACGGCCTAAAGTATCACCCAAAGTAGCAGTTGGGTTCGGTGCCTGTAAAGATTTATTTACTGATGCGTCAGAGCTGCTTGCGAGGCTCAATACTGAAATCCCTGTTACGCCTTTCCACTATAATGTACTTAATAATGTCACTGAGTTGAAGAGTACCTTTGCTTACTTTTACCAGCACGGTGCTGCAGCTGAGTGAGTAGTGTTTAGTGAGTTATGTTATTAAATTACAGTAAAACTCGCATAAGTCGACACTTTTGGGACCAGCATATTTGTGCCGACTTACGAAAATGACGACATACGCGTAAGTCGTCATTTTGTCGACTTATACGTAGGGCTCCCCTCCCAGGCGCCCGTCACCCCTACGCAGTCATAAACATACTCCACACACGACGTCAGTTCGCGCCACATACATAGCAGACATGAAACAATCGGGTCTGTACATCAATCGACACCGCTGCTGGCCATAACGCACGTACAGCGTACGCACTAGCGGCAAGCACGTACGGCACACGCTGGCTATCTGTAATACCTGCTGTTGATTACACGTTTGGACATTGCAGGCCATTTGCGGTGCATGTCTACCAAATTTTTTTGGAACACTTGCTGAAAAAATACGGCAATTCCGCGATGCCGTGCTCTGGAACAAACTAGTTAGTATAGTAGAATTTTCAGGGAGTCACGTGGACTCCTGCATTATTATGTCAAATCAGGGAGTCCGGCAGTAAATCAGGGAGCGTTTGACCTGGGACTCGCGTTAACTTCGCACCCTGCATTGGGCTGCATACACTTGGGAATCTGGAGGATGTGCAAGCTGAAAAATGCGCATTCCTTAGTACACTGCGCGCGCCATCGGCATTTCTGATGACGACTTACAGATGGGAAATTACTGTTGTTTGTATTACATGGGACCTGTCTGAGGGCGTCAACTTGTGCATAATGACGACTTATAAATGACGACTTAGGCGGGGCTATTCCAATGGATTTACTATGAGAGAAATTCGGGACTTTGACATCCATGACGACTTGTGCGAATTGACGAGTTAGACGATGACAACTTATGCGAGCTTTACTGTATAGTACTAATACTATATAGTTTAGTTTAATAGTTAATCAATAACTTATTGAGTAACATTGTTGTTACTAATAACAGTATCTTACTACTATAGTATTATGTATAGTATCATGAGTAAATAATCTCAAAGGAGTTTGACACATATTTGCTTGTGTTTTTACCAATTATCCACTTCAAATTTTGATAAAAAAAATGTATATATGTTCTTGAGCTTATTTCGTTTCCTTATTTATAGTCACCTATCTTGTACTGAATTCGGTTTATAGCTATTTACAATCGTATTGCAGTAAATAGTATTCAAACACAGTGTTGATTCAGAGGCTTTCGGCATGTTGTCACATCTATGTAGGTGTATTTTATGGAGCGATACTAGCGACAATTGCTCCAATCTTCTGCATGTGACTAAGCAGGGATGTAAGAGGCCTAGCTAATGCGTTATACACATAGTACGAGCATGCATGTAACAAGGGACCATATGTACACAATCACATTGTGTTTGATGCATATACATGTCTTGGTAGACTGTAGATGCATTGCAAGCTAATGAAATAAGTGATTAATGATATTTCTTGCTCGTGAGACCAAAACATTACAATGCCTGTCGAGTCGCATATGGGGGAGAGAAGCAGTTGTTGGTAGTATCACTCTACAAAGTATGCCTACATAGTTGTGACAACATGCCAAAAAGCTTCCACATCAATATTGTGTTTGAATACAATTTATAGCAATATGACAGGAAAATAGCTATAAACCGATTTCAGTACACGATAGGCGAATAATAAAGGTAGATAATAAGCTCAAGAACATGTACATTTTTGTTTTTATTCATGCCAAAATTTAAATAAGAAAATAGGGAAAAATGCAGGAAAATATGTGGCAAACTCCTTTGAGATTATTTACTCCTGATAGTTGTAACAGCAGTACTGATAACCTCTACCTATAAAACATATAACCCCACAGGGGATACAGTCACAGGGTTGTACAACTGAAGTTATTGGCTAAGACTGAAACAACTGCCAAAGTAGATCTTGCATCTCGTGAGTAATAATAACTTGCATTGAAGAAGTTGGGCACAGATTTTGACAATGCCACTGATAGCAAAGCACATTTAATACAGCTGTACAAGACTGTCCAAGTCAATAATGCACCACTCAAGTGGAGGTTCCTAGTGCAAATATGTTTGCTGCTATTGGGAATAATGTCACATCCAATTGGAAATGCAAATTGAAGGAAAATGATGCTGAATAGTGTAAATTTAACATGCTAGCTTGCTTAATCCTCTTTAACCGGTCAATAATTTTCTATGAATTCTTAATATTATTACCTATTCATTCAATGAAACTGAGAAAATGGCAGAGCAAAGGGCTATATGGATAAAGTTAATAATGATCAATTATAGATTTTGTTAATATCAAACATAGATAGTGTTAATATTAAACATTTTTATGTGTATCCTTGAATGGCACTAGTTTTAACTATGTAGTTCTTATCTGTATTTTATATATAAAATGGATGTACAATATATGATATAGGCAACAGTATGCAAAGCTAGCCTTCTAATTAATAATGTTTGTGGTAATGTCTCAAAGATGAGTTATTATTAAGACATGAAATGTTCCTTAATTAGAAAATCTGCAATTTCAGGCGCTTCATGTCAAATAGCACACTGTTCTCAGAGATGATTGCAATTGGAGCACAGCTGCCAGGTGCACACTGGGCTCTTGGGGGCAATGCCCCAGTGATGGCGTCACGATTTAATTTGGAGGGATGCGAGGTGTTGCTAGGCACAAAGATGTCAGAAGACCTTAAATCGTATTTTGACCCTAGAATAAAAAGTGAGTCAAAATTAGGTACTCAAGTTTACCCAATTGAACTTTACCTAAGTCATTAAATTTACTTTAGTAATTGTGCACTTTAGTTACTCTAGTAATAGATAATCATAACTTCCTCCACATGTGCAAAACATATTCCATAATAATATACGACATTAGAAATTTACCGGATTAGAATAACCCCTCCTCCCATCATAGTATTGGAGTGTCATTATTAGCTATTGTGCTTGCTGCAGTTTCAGGTGGAAATCTTGCTAGTGATGATATTCATCTGATATTGGAGTACAAATCTGGTGATAGCTGGGGCAAACTGACAGCTGCGAGGGCCAATAGGTATGAATGATTTGTCGACTACACAGACCATAGGTTTATTTTGCACAACATGGCATTTCCTTCTCAGTTCTGAATGTAACTGTGCTTGTACTTTTACAGGTTTATTGTTCACAGTGACCTGAACAACCCTACTATCAGTTCCTTAAATGACTTCACTGCTGAGCTAAAGAGTTTTCATCCACAACTGTTAGTAATTGGTGGTCTACAAATGATGGACAACTTTCCTTTCAAACCGGGTGCTTACACTTTACTATTGCTCAAGGGGTCGTTGTCGTAACAGGTACTACAGATATGTACCCGAGGTACATATATGTATACACAAAGTGTACCAGACTTGGACTACAGAAGTGTACCCTAACCCTAACCCTAACCCTAACCCGAACCCTAACCCTAACCCTAACCCTAACCCTAACCCTAACCCTAACCCTAACCCTAACTCTAACCCTAACCCTAACCCTAAACATACCTCATATAAAAATATAAACATAATACTAAACAACCTAAAACGACCTCGGGTACATATCTGTAGTACCTGTTACGACAACGACCCTTCGTGCTTTACTATTACATAAACATACCAATCAGCTTACCATGTATTTTTGCAATTCATAAACAAAATGGCAATTGAATGAAAATACCGAACGATAGGCGGTGGTGCTGTATGAAAAATTACTGCTGTCGTTCATTTTTCACAGATTGTGATGACAAACTGCTCTTTTAAATTGCAGGACAAAGACGTGAGATTTTGCAAAAGATCCGGAATACCATCCTGGATCTATCCTGTTGGACAAGGCTTCACTTTGAGATGGCTTCTTTCACTGATGAGTCACTTCTGCAGGACCTGGCTGAGTTGGTATTCCCATACATCGACTCGTTTGGCATGAATGAGCAGGTACATCAAATATTTTACTCTTAACTCAAAGCAAGCAATACTGTCATTGCGTGAACCCTTTTTTTCATTTTTGTTAAAAACAATGAATAGTGCACATATACTTGTGTGTTAGTGGTACTTACTATAGATGGTTGAACTTATAGATGCTTTAATTTTAGGCATGCATATCATTTCAACAGTCACGTTAATTGTTTTGTTAAATAAACTATTAGAACGGCGTCGTGATATAATATACTTGATTTTACGTGGATTGGCGAATGTTTCAGTATGATATGGTCAGGGGTGAATCTATTATTATTCACTCCTGATATGATGTTCAGTAATATATTTTAATATAATTATTATAATTATTATTATTATTAATTTAAGAAAACAATATTACCAATAACATGTAATGTTATTATATCAGGAACTTCCAAACCTCTATGCAGCTTTGTACAAAAAGAACATATCCTTGGTCTCTGACACTTATCCTCGGGTAGCAACTGTGCTCGACCAAATGCGTGAAGTGTTTCGTGTTGTAAACACGAGGCAGAACCAGCGAGGCTGTGAGCAGCATGCTCGGATACATGTGCACACACTTGCATATCAGGTATGTCAGTTGTTTGTGCGCAGAGATGATTGGCATTAAAGTACATTACACAGTTAAACCTGCTAGTAGAGACCTGGTAGATTTTACATCTTTAAAGTGTCCCAAAGAATTTTTGATAGTTTGTTATTAAATTTTTTTTTGTAATTATTGAAACACAAATTTTTCATGTAGTATTATTTAAACCTAGTTCAACTACAAAATATGCATTAAATGCAGATTTTCGTTCCCTTATAAATAGCGTGCCTAATTCTTATGAAACTGAATACCACCTGTCCAGTTGAGCTGCAGAGTTCTCTGCTACTCCCAGCAGAGTTTAACATCAATGAACAATAAAAATTATCACTTTTTAATTAAGAAAATAATTAAATGTTAATTAACCGTTAATGGCAACAGATAAAATGAAAGGTGGGGTTAGTATAAAGTTGCCCTTGCATCACGGCCTTGTCCATCAGGTCATCATGACACGACATGGATCTTCATGGAAGAACAACCTGGGCGCTGCTGCGAAGGCATCCCTCACTGCTAATCGGCACACATGCGGTTCTGGGGAGATCGATGTAGCCAAGGCTAGGCTCATCTTGGATAATTCCTTTGCATCGAGCAAACACGATGGCGGCAGACGTATTCACATCGATGATGGCAAACCAGTGTCATGCTGGAGAGAAGAAGGTGTTCACATCTGTGTGGCACCTGTACTAGTGTGCACTGAGGTGCTCCAGACTGCTGGTGGAGGCGACACCATATCCTCAGCAGCCCTCGCCTATCAGATATGAGGTTTGGAACTATAAATCAGTAAAACAGCTATTCAGCAGTGATGACATCAAATTTTTGATCTTAGAGTTGTACTCTAGATAATCAAAGAGTACTTTTGATTACATCTGTCCCTCTATAATATTGTGGGATATAAATGTGGTGGGAAATATTTATGGTATGCACCTTACCTCATGATACTGGGACCACAAGCCAGCGCTTCGTGATAAAATTTATAGCCAAACATATTACTGCACGTTTTGTGTGTAATCATATTTTTTTAGAAGAGGCCGATTTGGCAATCAGTACTTGGAATTATATCTTGTTGATCTGTTAATGCTATGACAATCGGTGTTTGTTAATGCACGTTATTGATCTTTGTGACAATCGTGGTTTTTTTAAATATTATTGATAGTTATGAAGAGAATGTTTTATATTGTATGTTTATGACAGTTCAATATATTTTATTGTTGATGACAATCATTATACGTTAATAATTTTGTGAAGGTGATTATCACAAGATACGCAACTAAACATACGGCCAAGGTTAAAAGTCATTCTCGTGGCTTTCAATGCAGTCATATATACCTGGTGAGCAATACAAATCCATTTACAAGTGGAATTTATAGCATTCTTGCAACATGACAATTGTAAAACTACCTAGTAGAAAAGATATACCAGGTACATGTATGTGTCTTTATGACACGATTGAAAACAGCACGTGATTATTTTCATTTGGTTGTGTTATATTTTATCTAAGTCTGTTGTGACTGTATGCATTCGGTTTATAATTAACTTTCACACACATTTCAAGTATTACTAAACTACTCGAAATATCATAAACATATGTATATTGAGAAGACAATAACAATATCATGGTAGCTTCACCTGATTTGTAGCAATGCATTATACCTTACCATAATAACAATCAATTCTGTCATTGAAGCAACAAGCCGATTTATCTGACGCTTATGCATGCTAAATTGTAAACAATTATTCATTTTACACCAGCTACGCCATAACATTTCTTTGTAGCCTTGTTATCTACACAACGTATAATGGTCAGAATCATAAATTGAAATGTGTGTCTAAATCTTGATATCTAGCAAGCTCGTTTTCCGACACTGATGGTACCAGGTTTCTCAGTGCAATTCTAAAGTCCGACTGGTTGACTGTAACTTGGATATCCTCTTCTTTTAGTGTGCCTTCAATAAAAACATTAATTACTATCAAAAATGTTTTATGTTAAGTTGTGAATACGAAATGACACCTTTGGACTTACTACAACTGGAGTTTGAAAATACTTGTGCATCGTTCCATGGTTCATTGCATTAATGGTATATATGTCACACTTGTCTACTCATTTCCTCAACTATAGATAACATCAAACATTGTAAGTGCATGAGACTAATGAGACTAGAAAGGTGCAACTTCAAAGCAAGTAGAAACTAATATTTCTATGCACTCACAGAAGCACTTGCTGTGAAAAACTTCATTACATTGCTCACATGTAAACCTCCCCTTCCATGAAGATAATAAACCTAAGTGATTAAAAGACGAGCCAACCTCTCTCTAATTCATCCATGTTCCTAGTAATGGCATGTAACATGGAGTCAGAGCACAAGGCATAGAAATCTGCTCCTGTCAGATTGGCTGGACAGTCGTCAACAATCTCACGAATATCAACATCTTCAGAAAAATTGAACCTGCAAGATAAATGTACGTTTTGAACACTGAAAATGTTCACATTCATTGGGGAATAAATGACACCTCCACTGAGAAATATAATTATTCGGTTACATGTGTGTGTTTCATAGTTTTAGTGTGCTGTACGTGTATCAGGAGCGTCATAACATAGACGGTAATATGAGGTTATATTATGATGCTCCCGTTTGTATGGTACCTCCTGTCTCTTAGATCTCAGTCTTCTATCTCTACCTGCCGTATCATAGTGTTCTGCATGGCCCTGCAGTGTGTATCACAGTGTACTTTCTTCTATAACAGTGCCATCCCCATTTGCACTATGTCCAAGTATCCTGACACTGGCAGATGCCCCAATACAATGATTCCTGTAATACACATCCCAGCATCCTACCCCTCATGCAAGGCCGACTACCCTGACTGGTCCCTTCACACAAGCCACAGTGACATACTTTCTGGTCAGTGCCGTTAGTATCTTTAACTGGTCAGCCTTGTCACGGCTCACTCCCACGTAGACTAGTTTGTCGAATCGGCCCGGCCGCAGCAGGGCAGGGTCCAGCAGATCTGGGCGATTGGTAGCAGCAATCACAAACACACTACTAGTCTTCACTAATCCATCGAGCTCTGCAAGCAGCTGTGACACAACCCTGCACAAAACATTTAATGAGTCTACAGCATCTATTAAAATTTAACCATGTGCTGGCTACTAATTGTTCTAAATTGTCACACGTGATTAAATATGGCTTGCAATTAGCTATCATTGACAGACTATTCTGTCAATTAGCGGCCAGTTTTTTTAAAAGTGTAACATTAGAACATGGAATAATAAAACAAATAGCAAATGTTATTGGTTATGCCATTTACAGTATATTCTGTAGTGTCTTGAAATTTTGGGAGAATCATTGGGATATGTGCTGATTACAATATCACATGGACTCCTACTACACATCTATTACAAATCTACGCATAATGGGCTTTATGAAAGAACTAGAATTATTAGATTTAAAAATAAGACTAGTCAATGTTCTGTCATGATCTATCCTACACCCGTCCTGGCCATCATACTCCATGGGCGATTATTGCCATTATATGAAAACTTTACTCGCATGATTTCTACACATGGCTAAATTACAGATTATTCAGAATGAGAAAAATTTTCTGTCTTCTGCCCACCTGTCAGAGACGCCACCGGAATCACCACTGCGCCCTCTGTTAGGAGCAAGAGAGTCGAGTTCATCAAAGAATATGACAGAGGGAGCGGCAGTTCGTGCACGGCTGAACACTGCAACACAACTGCTAAGGTTATAATGCTAGGCTATGCTTATAAGGCTATACTGCTAAGGTGCCAATACGTACATAGGGAAAAACGTATAACCTTTGCTATGTATTAACACACCCAATCCAAATGTCAATCATACCCCCATCTAGGCAGTTTTCTCATGAGTACTGTCCGTGTGTATGTAGACTGCTTGATTGCATGTGTATGTAGACTGCTTGATTGCATGTGTATGTAGACTGCTTGATTGCATGTGTATGTAGACTGTACAGTATGATAGCATGATTGTATGGCATCTGCTAATATAATTTCTTAACATGCTTAATGAAAATTATTTTGTTCGAACCTCTTGTAGCTGCTTAGTTTTAAAGGAAACAATAAGGATATCTTAAGATTTTCAAAGAAAAAAATTTGGAAAATTACAACAGGTGTGGAAAAGTGAGAAGTACAAAGACAAACGAGAATTATAGGTATGCCTAAAAGAATAAATACTGTCATCCCATTAACATCGTTTATGCTGAAGTGCTTTCTCGTTACCTTCTCGAACGTTCTCCTCACTTTGTCCAACATACATATTGATCAGCTCAGGTCCCTTCACACTAAGAAAGTTAAGCGAGCACTCGGTTGCGACAGCCTTGGCGAGAAGGGTTTTGCCCGTCCCTGGCGGTCCATAAAGCAGCAGCCCAGAACGTCGCATCCCAGCAGCAAACAACTCTGGTTGACGCAGGGGAAGCTGAATCGTATCCAAGATGGCGGTCTTGGCATCAGTGAGCCCTCCTACATCTTCCCATGTGACGTTGGGAATCTGCACAACAATTTCTAGTTCAGAATAAATCATTATTATCAGCCCATGAAGCCACTTATTCATATACAACTGCTAATTACATCCACATCTGCATTTACAGGCTTCAATGATTTCTAATGAATCTTGAAAGCAATCTGTGACAAATAAACATACAAAAATGATTGCATACACTAAGAAAACTGTGATAATGAAAGCATTAATCTTTGTTTTACCAAAGTTTTAGTTTGCTTGTAGAAGCTAACTACATGAGCCAATATTTTACGAGTGGGTGTATAAATCTGCATATATCTTGCCTACAATACAGATCTACATCTCCTATGATCTATAATGGGTGTGACAGGTATATGTAATATGTCACCTGTAGGGCTTCACCAATGGCAGTTCCTCCGAATTATAATGCATATAAATACTATGCATGAAATGAAGCTTCTTTGTAAAGATCTTATGTTTTAAAAAGTATCAACTGCTTTAACACCTTGGGTGCTCCAATCACGTCTGCATGTGCTGCCTGAAGCTGGTCCAAGGCCATCTCAAAGTCAACAGCTCTTACACTAACACCGGCGAGTCGTATACTCTCCTCCTCCGCCTCTGTCAGTTGCGTGTGCTGATGAGTGCTGAAGCAAGGGCACATACACCTCTTGCAAGCGTATTATCCAACTTTCTATTTCATATTTTCTAGGAGCATACTACGCGAATTGCTGTAGCATGAGATTTATCTACAATTAGTGACAAACTTAGGAATTTAAACTTGATGTAATACATGTGTTTTACTGCCTACTGCCGGTGAGGGTCCAAGCCATGTTTAAGAAATTATAACGACCCAAGCATCTGAGTATGTGTGTGAAAAAGTATGACATGCACATGGCAGCTAAGGATATTCACATAAAACTTGAATATGCATGTTAATTGCAGCCCACCTTCCATAATTGTCTGAACAACATGTATACACACCATGCAGAGAGGACCCTCCTATAAGCTGCTCTATTTGTTTGGGCTACCAGAGCACAAAGATCACCAAGCACCATCCCAGCAGTTCTCTGAGCTAGGTGGAGCACAGACACATTTTCATGGCAGATTGTCCTCATTGCCAGTAAAGCATGAAGAATATCTGCCCTCTCTGCTTCTGACGGCACCTGGAAGAGGCAGTAAATAAATATGATATCAACATAAGCATGGTCAAAACATATAACTATGATTTAATTAAATCATTATTATGAGGCTCATACATTGCAATATTTAACAGTGATGATTTTATGAAGAGTTCCTCAGGTGAACTGGATCTACCTTGATGACCACTTCATGTAGAAAAGCAGAAAAAAATTCTGCTGGCATGTGCCTAGGATCGCTGGTTGTTCCAACTATGATGACTGGGTGACTCAACCTCAATGACTGGAAGCTAGACAACATCTCTACAATACTGCCTATCACTCTAGGATCTGTAATCATAAGATTTCACAAAGCAAATTCATTTTACTAACCTGCAAAAAAGCAATATGTAAATTGTTATAAAATAATATAAATATGGACTGTTATGTTGAGATTATGCTGAATGAGAGTATGCAACATACAGAGTACAGTGTGCAAAACATGGCGCATTAGCGGCATTACACGACGTAATTGGAAAATATCATTACCATCACTAGTCCCCTCTCTGTCCTTGCTGATTATGTGAATATTCCTGAGTAACAAAATGCACGGTGCATACAGTTGTGCCCTGTTGAGTACATTCTTCATTTTTGCCTCACTGGATGCTGATGTCTCCCCGTGCAACTCGTAGCAATTCAGCTAGACGAAAATATAGATTATCATGCTATCAGGAGTGTATAATGACAAATTTGTCATTATACACTCCTGATGCTATTTACTCCTGATGCTATTCATTCTTATATAGCATGATTATCACATATTAGCATGATTTCCAAATTTATCTGTATATCACACTGATTATCACCATAATCATTTTTACTATATGGAACCTAGAAGTAATGGTAAAAACACTACACACAGTAAACAACTGCTGCTCGAAAATGAAGACCCAACTTGATTCCACTTCAGGAGCAGCATTCCCCAAACTGGAGCCTAATAACAAACTACCAAACCTACTATCTACCAAAAGTAAAATCACAATGTTATGTACGCAGCTTAAAGAAAGTGGAGCAAGTTGCTCAGACGCTCAGTTGCTGCTCGAGGTGTTCAGGAAGTTGAAGGACTCATAGTTTTAAGTTGCTTAAGCATAGTTAAATACCTGATAGATGTGCATGTTGAGCTGTTTAGCCACGGCTTTAACCACGGTATTTTTCCCAACCCCACGTGGCCCAGTCACTACAATAGTGGGTGCCACTTCACGGCACTCGCACCTGTGGTAGATGTATAGTCATGGCTAGTATTAAATTCTCAGCCTTATCTTACCACTCATTGTGGAAACTGTGCAGCAATGTTACAATTAGAATACAGTCCAACCTCCTTTATCTGGCCATCCGTTATCCGGAAATCTCTATTAACCGGCTGCGATCTCGCAGTGTATGTTCTCTGTTTTTCATTCATTTCCACCTAAAAATCTTGCTCAAAACTCGCTCATCAAAGCTCGCTCAAAACTTGCGCGATGTATAACCAACCGTACGTGTGTTTGCGTGTGCGCGCGCGTGTGTGTTGTCCGCTCGTGTCCTCTATGCCTCCGGTAAAATTTCTATTTTATTTCATTTTATTTCCATTTCAGATAAACCATAAAACACGACAGTTTGTTACAAATAATCATAGCAACGAGTAAATACATTATCACATGCATAAACTCTACTGAACTGCTTAGAAATGCTGTGTTTGAGCATAACTCTCATATCCGGCCAAATCCCATATCCGGAAGGGTGCCGGTCCCGATGTGGCCGGATAAAGGAGGTCGGACTGTATCATTATTATGATTGTAGCTGAAATGAGTTATAGATGTAGGTGTACAACAGCATCCAGTATTTAATTTACCTGTTGTGCAGATGAGGCAGAATTGCATTCATTAACTGCTGACTATACTGAACTAAGCCTGCTGGCATGGGCCAATCCCACATTACATCAGATCCTTCTCCAGTAAGATAGGTTTTCATCAGCATTGGCACAAAACTCTGCACAGTTCCAGCCTGTCAACAGATTCACCACACTATAATTATAGTCTGATATAATGGCAAAATGTATGGGTCAAAAACTGAGAAATCTAGGAGTCTATCAAGGAATCGGGAAGTCGTGCTTAAAATCAGACTGATAGAAAAAATATTGTGGCCAGTGCTCTGTCAATGTATGTACAGAAAGATAAATAGGTCGACTCTTGACTGGTCTAGTCACTGCCCTCTCAACATCAGTCACAATCATTCTGCAGCTATCACTTATCCATTCATGTTTGTCCAAAAACGACACTGTGCACAGATACATTGTGTGCATAATATCAGGGGGTTAGTAATGACAAATGTCATTGACAATGTCAAATGACATTTGTCATTATTAACCCCTGATAATATCATGTGCCAAATGACTGATTCATGTGAAATGTATATGAGTGTATGTACGTGAGTATCGGACCCACGAAATTCTGCTAATTTTGAAACTGAATAAACATGGAAAATGTAAAAAAAACAGATAACCATGCCAATAATTTAATGATCAAGAGCACAGAGAAGAACATTCACCTGAAACAGTGACGTGTGTTGAATATCCACTAGGGCTGCTGGTTGGTAAGGAGTATCAGAGAGTGGAAGTAGTTTCATGACCTTGAAGTATACAGCTGGAGATCTAAGAGAAATACATGTTATTTAAAATCTAATGTTATATTTTCACTTCTAATAAAAGAAATGCACTTTATGTTAGAATGCATGGGCACACCAATTTATCAATCAATATTGCAGAAATGAAGGAGACATAGTTGAGCAACATACCTGGTAGATCTAGTATCTTCTGCTTGCTGAATAGATTCAGTCTCTGAAATGATCACAATTAATGACAAACAAGTGCCGCAGTGCGACAGGGCTCATCTGGTGTCTGGTGTTCTGCTGATAAATTCATTTGTGCATAGCAAGATGTCTTATACATAAGTCTTCTTTATTCTTGTTTGACTTTCGTAGCCAATTCGAACAAATATATCAGCTACACTTTCGCACCCACCTAATCTCTATGCATTGCAGACACATGTGCATTGCATGTTGGCAGGCAACAATTATGATTAGAAGCGTGCCAGCCATGGGCTGCCCGAGAGAGTATGTTACTTTGAGGTTAAAAAATATCAATATAATCATGCCCAAATATAATGCTTGTGTCGAAAACCTTTCGAGTTCAATATTCAGACCAAGTGGTTATTTTCATTTAATTAAAAGCCATTGTATGATTGCTGGTTGTATACCATTATCGGCGCTATACTTGTGAGGTTCAGCGTTAGTTCAGGTTCTTAGTGAACAACTATTAAGATGCCCTCAAACCAGCTTAAATTTTAATGCTGCAAAATTGTTAACTTCATCATTCTGTGACCCTAGAGAAGATATCTTTCATGAAATGTGTAATTTTTATTTGCAATAATAATTTCTTATTATTAATCAAAACAATACCTTAATTCGAGCTTTTGCTTTTTCCTGAACAAGCTGCGATGGGTGTACATTAAAGTTAAACCACAGTAATGGTGACATGTATACAATCTTGTCTTCTTCCATGTTTCTCCCAGTTTGTGTTTTTCTATTGCATGTGACTTGACACTAGTCTCTTCTGGAACAGTGATCTAGGTATATCGCATAATCTCTTGTCTTCTACGTTCACCGTTTTCTGTTTTATCCCATGGTTAACATCACTACTAGATAATACTTCACTGTTGAAGGAGCAATGCTCTATGCATTCTTTTGATTGCAGTTGAGGATGAGGTGTTAGCTCCATTGGTTCCGCACTCCACTTGAATGTAATTTCTCTATAACTACCCAAGATCCATTAGTAATTCGTTGCTCATTCAAAACTTTGGAAGTGACTCCAATTACATGCCCATTCATTCTTTAGAGAGGTATCACACAATCCCTGGTTCAGGAAAGACTGTGGCATAATACAAGGGTGAAACACACCGTTTTTATTCAACAGATTGGGGCACAGTTTCACTGACAACTGAGTGTGTAATCGTCAGATGAAATCTGGCAGATTCAGCTCATCTCCAACCTGGTCACCTTTACAAGTCGTTTGAGTCACATGTTGACAAGGAAGCCATGTTAGTAATACAGAATCTTTTCAATTTCCAGGTCTGAATTGTCACAGCATTCATTAAATGCAATGGAGTGATGATGATCTCTGACTTCAGAGTTAACAGCCCCCTGATTTTGCGCTCACAATCAAGAACGACAGTATCGAAAAATCTAGAATCTGTGAAATGTCGTCTTTCACCAGAAGTCCAGAGATTGGTGAGAGCAACACGTCACCCTTTGCGACACAGAACTAAACCTTCACAGACAGAAGAAAGAACCCAGTCATGAATTTCTGTCGACTTAAACCACGAGAATACACTATCAGACTTTGCAGCAAGTACGACCCTTCTAGGGCAAACATATTCACAGACGATTATAATCGACAGAATTCATTACAGTGAAACCCCATAGTGGCGTAGAACATCTCTCCGTGCACAGAACATGTAAATCTTGAGGATGAGAATAAGTTCATCTACTGAATATGCGTATTACTCGTAGACGTTGTCGTAATGTGTATTCACGTACTTATCACTTCTCCACTTTGATACAGTGTAGGTGAGCGAATAGACACGAGAAAGACCAACTTTTTAACATGGTCACTATCTTAATAGAAACAATACACTTCGTCGCTAGATTCTTTCCAGAAAATTCCGTGAGAATGTTCTTTAGGAATACCGATATGGAGTGGGTGATGCCCTATTTTCAAAAGAGAATACAACGCTTGAATTTCCCATGAAGACATATAAGACTACGGCGCAGAACATCTTAGCCAAGGGACTTCGTAAAACTACGCGAAATGACCTCTTAAAATTATTATATTATTATTAAATCTTTTTGGGCATATCAATCAAATACAAAACATATGTATCTTGAAAACAGTCTTTTTTTTATGAAAAAGCATTCTAATAGATATGTTGAGCGTTAAAATAATTAACGCATTTTTGAAGTTATAGCAAAACAACGCGTATATGGCGCTATCCGTGTTATACCGTGTGACCGCGGTACTAAGATTGATGTTTTGTTGCACTTGGACTCTTTGAAAACTAATTATATATTTTACGAAGGTTACGATGAGTATATGCCTAGGCTACTAGGGGCCTACAACACAAATAAAAAATAAAATACGAAACGGACAGTAACTGGTTTGTACAATTAGTTATCTCGATATTTGGAAATCACACCACGTCATTGCACATTGATGATTCGCCTAGGGAAGTTAGAACAGCCACAGCACTCAGCAGCAAGTATTTTAGAAGTTGGAAGTAATTGGGGCAAATGAAGACTTTCAGAAATCTGAAGGAGTCATGAACATAAGTTATGTCACTTATGACGTTTCACAACATAAGAAAGAATGGATAAAAATATGTAAAAGAGGCGTATTTAAATACAGTAATTAAGAGAGATACCAATACCATAGGCTCTGGTGAGAAATACACAAAATAAAGAATGATAAACCCGAAAGCTATGTCAAGTATAAGTATAGCTAAATTTACTATGAGCTACAAGCTATAACTGTCATTTGATGATCGCATGCTTTGTGTTAGGATATTACTTATAGGTGTAACGTACTCGCATGATAAAAGCTTTAAAAAGTGTATTAAAAAATAACTACAGTAATGATAATATGTTGGATTTGTGTGAACGACAAGCGAAAAAAGTAAACATTGGAACATCTATACTCATGTAAAATTGAAGGTAACTAGTAGCGGGTATCCGTATAATAAAGGGACATTGAGAAGTAAGAAGATTGGAAAAGTGATGACTCCGAAAATACTAAGAACCCAGGACCTAAGAATATGTTAGAGAAGGCATAATCAACTTAGAGAACAGCCCTAAAATACATCTATGCTACAGAATTGTAGATCAGAATTTCGCTTAAATCTATAGCATTCGCACCGCCATTCCAACGAGCAATCTGTGCCTGTGAACATACAAGAGAGGACCCCCATAAGATACAAGCTACCACAGATAACAAGGCCCATTCTGACTCTTGCACGTCGTGACATCGTAGTAGAACATTCTCATCTGCGATACTGAAGTAGTGAAACGAGAAGTAACTTGGCTACCGGTTATAGCGGGTGTCACGGTCTGAGATTAACTCTTCTAAGCTCTAGGTACTTCATACGGCCCACGTACAGTTGCCGGCAGGCTATAGAACATTTTTAATGCCCAAGGTTTCATAGTCTGCACCTGACCTGTCTCCCATCTCAATGTCTCCCATGAAAATGGCTCACAAAACGCAAAAATGATCGGCTGCCATGTGTTTTCTACATTTCGGGTGACGTCACGCACTGTACACAACCAAGAAATTCCAAAAACGAAACAGCAAGTCGTGCTAGCACCCATTCATTGAGGAATAAATGGCATAAATACAATACATGGTGTAAAGTTGTGAATAATTGTTTACAAAGAATACGGTGAGCAATGCTCCATGTGAACCGATCATTTTTGCATTTCTGTGAGCCATTTTTTTGTGCGAGACAGGTGCAGGCTACTGATAACCTGGCACTACAATGTTCTACTAGCCCCTGTGTCAACTGTCACGCCGCGGCTATAGTTTACTACTAAGCTAAGATTACCCCAGTCCTGAAATTACCCCAGCACCTCGTCGTGCCGCATTGACGTGACGCATGGTCGCAGTGAGCCGCTGGATTAATAAGACCGGCTGCGGCCACAGTCCTGAAATTAAGTCCTTGGCAGGTAGTAGGGTAAATTCAGACTGGGTGATCTGCAGAACCGGTCCTGGAATCGGTTCGCCCGCAAATTATATCTTAAATTCATATATTAATCCTGGTGCCGCATACGGCAGTAAATTCAGCACTGGGGTAATCTCGAGACCGGCTGGCAATTGTTCGCACACTGCAAGTTATCGATCCTTAACCCTGGTGCCTAGGTAGGCGGGCTAACATTCAGACTCGAGCGTAATCCTCTAGACCGGTCTGGCAAAATTGTCCGCTAGCAAATCACTACCTCTTTTAACTGGCGGGGCTGCCCTAATAGGGGGTACATTCACGACTGGGGTAATCCTCAGCACCGCTCTCGGTAATGTTCGCGCAAGTTATATCCTTAAACCTGGGTGCTGCAGTGAGTATGCGGTAACAGTAGCAACCTGGGGTAACATCTCAGACCGGCTACGAATTGTTGCTCGCAGAATTATAATCTATACTCTGGCCAGTCGCCATCCAGCGCGGGTAACATCAGACTGGGGTAAATCTCAGACCGTGACACGCGGCCACTGTGTTGACCGGTAAAAAAGAGCATTTGACGACATGCGCGATGTGCACAAAACTGAAACACAAATTACAGAAGTTTTGTTTGATTATGCAATTTTGTCTCTGAATTTCAATGCTGTTTCTGCACATGATGCGGGCATTCGTGGTTGTGTACTAGAGGAGTAATTCTCAAACCGGCATTATGGAACAGTTTATAACTAATAATAGGTCGAAAACTAGAGTAGAGAAAGACCTAGCTTGGCACTGGACTTGGACCATTTCACACTTTTTTTTAGCCGATCAGTTTTATTTTTAAAACGTCTAAAGTGCATGTGCCGTGGCAGCCTTTAGTGCTGTGGCCATGTGTGTGTAGCCCCTTCGCTCTTGCCTAGTGAAGATTTCTGTAGCTAGTAAGTATAATTAACTAATACAGGGGTTCTCCCTACGTTGCGCAAACGGGACGCCGCGCGCCCCGTTTGGGGAACCCCCCCTGTTTCCAAATTCTTGCGGCCCCCGTTTAAAATACCTCCGCCCCCCGATTAAATTCCACCACACATAAAAGTTTGACAGCTGGGGATCGAATCGTCAATAATTTCCGATTCGACCGAGACGCGCACCGACGCGTGTATTTTTACGTACCACGCATGCAACTTGCAGACCATACAAATGTTACAACGAGTTAACCTGTCCCCGAAGCCCAACACTAAACTGTACACCGACTCGGCTATCTTATATATACAAGAACCAATACGTCTAATGGTGGTGGTGCGATTACGCATTAATTTAAGTGGTACGGTACACAAAAACGACCCCCCCTGGACCCCCCTAGTTTCCCTCCTCCCCTTTCCCCCCCTCCCCCTTCCCGCTCCCCTCCCCCTGCCCCGTCCCCCTCCCTCCCCTCCCCCCTGTTTCAATTCATCCCTGGGAGAACCCTGTAATATTAATATAATAAAGTACGTTATTATACACTTCAATCAAATTTATACCACCAAGGTTCAAACACACCGTTGTAAGCTATGCCGGTCATAATAGCCGGCTCTGGTGTTTGGCCGACCGGTCCAAGACGCAGCTTTACAATAACATTTCTTCGCGACCGGCACGAAAATGATTGAAAGTTGTATAAAATTACATTCAAAGTGTTGGAGCAAATTTCACAAATAACCACACCCTGATACACTTAGAATTAATTTAAAAAACAAACCGAGTTTTAATCTCAGCATAAGTTATGCATAAAATCATCGCCTATCACAACCCTCGTATCAGCGGCCACAGTACATGCAGGTATATCTGCACCATATTTCTATCTCCATAACTAAATTTATGCATATGACGCAATCACTGATATTATGCCGCATCTAAAATTCTTAGGCCTTATCAACCTTGATAACTATATATATAGTGTATATAGTAATATATATATATAAATACAGGGTGCAAAATTAACGCGAGTCCGAAGTCAAATACTTCCTGATTCTGACATTCTTCAGGAGTCCGTCGTGACTCCCTGATAAATTCTGGCTAAAATAGTAACAAGTTCGTTCCAGAGCATACGGCCTCACGGAATTACCGCATTTGTTTTCAGGCAAATGTCCAAAGAAAATTTGGTCATCAGACGGCATCGATGAAACTTAAAATACGCACATTGTTATGCGTTTATTGTTTGCTTGTGATTTTAGTTTGTTGAACTCAGACGCGGACTCCCTCATTTCGCTAGCGGACTGCCCTCTCTTTTGAGGGCAGGGTGACCTTCTCCTTGTTCCAATAAGTTTAAATTCTACCCGTGTATACTATATATATATATATATTGATATAATA